TGTGTCTGTATTGTCTGTAGTTTACAGACATTACAGCACAGACAGACACTCTTTTCCTCGTAAAACAATAGTGACACAGAACAACATGTCCCTTACCTTTTATAGAGAAAGCAGGAGTTCAAAATTCGATACTGACGATATTTTTTCACCGTTTAATATACCTAGTAGAATGCTAAATTAATTTGAAACTTCTGTATTACGATATATACGAACCCTATATACGAACTATAAAGGAATAGAACTGTCTCGATTAAATTTTATACGGTACTATATCTTTACCACTCTTGCGCATCTTGTAACACTAATTCCATGGCCCACGGTAGACAGTATGGCCATAAATTGAGCAGGGCTGTCAATTGCATTCGTTCACCAATAGTTGCGGTCACAGGGCGTGTGTGGGCTTTCATTCGCTTTTTGTTTTACTATAGCGAGCCGAAACTGTATGTGTTTTCCAATGAAAAGCGATTTTTAATCTTTAATTAATTGATTTAAAGCAAAGTTATCAACAATCGAGGCTAAAGTGGGTAGTTCTAATTTACTAGCTGTGGCCCCGACTTCGTCCGCGTCTTGCTTCGTTCTTGCAAGATAATTTTAAAAGATGCTTGCGGACATTTTTTAAGATCATTTAAAGAACAAATATTTTTTTAGTTTCTTGACTCGTTTTCGCAGCGCACGTAAGGGAACCCCTCGAAGATGAATAATTTTCCCCGTTGTTTCCACATTTCCCCTTATTCCTTCGCACCTGTGTAGCCTAAAGCTTTTCTATAAAAAAATAAGTCACTTAAACATTAAGATAAGGCATTTGTTTGTCCATTCCAAATGTGGCATATGTATAATTTTATCTTTAAGTAGTAGCTCAACAAATACATTTATTTCAAACAATTTCTCATAGCCTCGGTGGCGCAGTAGGCAGCGCGTAAGTCTCATAATCTTAAGGTCGTGAGTTCGATCCTCACCCGGGGCATATCTTTTTATTTATTTCTGTTCAAAATTATCATCTGTATCATATTATATCTGTACCATACTGAATTTTATTTCATTAAAAGCCTTTTTGTATTTCCTATCAATTGAAAACGTCTATTACAATCATGAGAATCAATTCAATTGGTGTTTATCGATTGCCCTACATAGTAAGTGGTTGCAGTTAAATCATTTCTATATTTAGACAGACACTAAGTGGACAGACTGGTCTAATAATAGAAATAGCATTTGTCTGAATGATTATTATTGACATGTCGAGGAACCTACGCAATACATTCTCTATAGTTTTAAAAGATAAAACTGAACTGAATTTTTAACAGGGCTTGCAGTCCTTCGTTTTATTAACAAAAATATTAATGGAACGATAAAATTAATTAATTATTTCTAGAATTACAAAAATATATGAGGGTATATTGATTTTTTTGTATTAATTTATTCCTACCTTTATAATTTATGTCTTTGTTTTATTATAGTAACTATACAAAATACATGATACAAAAAACACTAGCTACGTCAACGACTTCGTCCGCGTAGCATACTTTAAGGGAATCAAAATGTATTTTTGCAAATCACCACATCTGTATAAATTATCGCTTTTACCCACGACTTGAGTCGCGATCCCGTCGTTCTTGCAAAATAATCTTGAAAGATAGACATAACGCCGAGGAATTTTTTTTATATCATTTAAAGAATCATTCTTTCATACATCGTGAAAAGTTATAGCAACGAAAATTAACTAAGATGATTAATTTTCCCCGTTTTTTCACAAATGCCCTTGTTTCTTCGCTCTAATTAGTCATAGCGCGATGTTTATAGCCTATAACCTTCCTCGATAAATGCTCTTATTAATACAAGAATAAATTTTCAACTCGAACAGTAGTTCCAGAGATTGGGGCATTCAAATAAACAAACTCTTCACCTATATATATTCGTATAGATTTCCTTGTTTTATTATAGCAGGTATAAAACATAATTTATTTGCATTAATGTTATAAAAATGTAAGAATAACAATATTATCAATACCTATCAATAAAATGAATCCTTTCTTTACGTTTATTTTTAAAAAGTCTTATATATAAGGATACATGGAATAGTCCACATTAACAAAAGTATGGCCGCGGCTATCAACACGACACTAATGATTGGTATCAGAGATGACCTGAGTCTGCAATCAGCCATCACGTCAAACATCTGCCCACACTTAATCAGTATTTATTGCTATACAAGCGATAGCTTCCTGGATTCGCCCACGATGGACCTCTCTGGAAATTAAAGATCAAATGGTCGGTTTTAAAAGCATACAGATAATAATTATTTGTCTATAACAGGATGAAAATATCGTAGATTGTTCATTGACAATTCACATTAGGTATACTATTCTTAAAATAGTAAAAAGAAGGTATACGAATTATTAATGTACCTACAATTATACAAAAATGTAGTAAGTATTCTCTTATCGTCTCTTATATCTTATTACCTATAGATTTTTAAACATATATTATAAATTAAAAATGAATTCTATTTCTATAATTCTCTCTATTATCGCCCATCTATTCTATTATATAAATGGGCGTTCTCAAATAAAATTATATTTTATTGCAATTCCTCTTCCATAGTTTAAAGAGTAAATATCAAGGAAATTATTCGATTTAAAGACTTTTTGAAAACTTTATTATTTCTTACATGTTATTGCACATGAAGGCACTACATATATATATACTATATAATTTAAAAATCGAAAATACATTGAAAAAATTTTCGACTCGAGCAGCACTTGAACCGGCATCGTCAGCGTTCCGTGCTCTACCAACTGAGCTACCGAGTCCTTGGTCAAGTGGTGAGTCAATTGGCTTTTTTATAATTAAGTCTTTCTTAGCCTTATATTGATGAGAAAGACGGCACGGCACATCTTTTAATCAAAAATATTTTTATAATATTGCTCATAGTTCAGGTTGATAAGGAAAATTGCGATAGGTGGACATTTTAAATTAACGAGGCAATTAAATTAACTGACCAAACTTCATTATCTCATAAAAGATAATTAATTTATTAAATATATAACATACTAACCGAAAATAGAAAAGATATTAATTAAAACTCTTCAACAGCCATAAATCTATAAGTTCTGAAATTTTAAATTAAAATGCTGCTATCGCGAGAAGGGACTCTGATAATTCCGGGACAATGGCTCCAAAGAAATATTGGTTCCGTAGAACCATAAATAAATTTAAAAATTTATGCTCAAAAAGTTTAGTGACACGACAAAATAATGCCAGCAATCGAAAATATTACTTTATTAATTTTCACTTTGGCACCTCCCGTGGCTCTGTAAAACGAGCTATTTCCTAATTGCATAAACGAGAAAGTCCTAAGTTTGATTTCAGAGACTAACATGAGAAATGGTTTAGTCATAGTTTGTAGTTATATAGTTATTCAGAAAAATCGTGTCTGTCCCATGCCCTATATAGTGGAAACGGGACTATACTTCATACATTTTTCAATATTTTTTATAGTGCCATCTGTTAAAAAAGTTTTGTTTTAGGTAATAGCAAAGACGATAATACAGACACGCGTTATTGGATAATCATCGATAAACTTGTTGTAGTGTTTGAATAATAGTGTAGATGGCGCTTAAATAAGTAATCATAATTTCCTTTAAGAAATTTTCAAAATAAATCATATTATGCTTCTTTATATCATGCGTTATATACAACATATTATAAAAAAAGAAACATCAACAGTATTTACAATTATATATTTACAAATATAAAAAAATCGTTGTATCGATGAATGTTTCGATATTATAATACATTGCTCATAGATGGCGCTAAAGTAATTAATTGAGAATAAATACAATTAAAATTAGTACCGTATTAAATATTAATCTTATTAAAGAAGACAAAGCCTATCGATATAAAATTGTAATATTATCTCGTTTCATGGTAATTCTGCAAAAATAGCTCTGTTTGTTATTATGAATTTTCCTTATCATAGATAATATTTTTTTTAGTAAAAACCACCACTATCAAAGCATAACCTCAAGTTGTAATAATAATTTCTTGAGTTGGTGTTGATTAGATAAGTTGGTATCTGATAATGGAAATCAGTACTTATCTAAAATAAAAACAATTAAGATATGTTTTTAATAGAACTATTGTAGAAAAATGTTAATAATACGAAATTAAATGATTCCTAGATATTGTGTTACACGCGTTAATGTGTTTTATATAACATTATTATCACCTTGTTCTTACGGAATACCTTAAAGAATACGAATAAAAGAATATCTTAGTTTGACGCAATAAAAAAAACTACAACTATTTTGACATGAATAAAATATAAAACATATTTTATATATTAGATCGAAAATAAAACAACAAATCATTTACAACCTTTTTATTCTAATCACATTTTGAGAGTACCTTACAATTAATACTAGTTTTATAATAGGAAATCAAATGTGAACTTTTGAATTGACTAAAATTCAGTACAAACTAACACCACAAGCGACTAGATATTTACAGTTTTATTATATACAATAAGATTTTCATCACAAGTTCATGAAGCTTCGGCTTTTTTATGTATAGCTAAAATCCGCGATTATATATATGTAATATTATATTTTTCTATAGGGCTAGTCTGTTTGTCTGTACACACATAACCAATAAATGAGAATCGTCCTCCGTTTGTGAATAAAACTAAACTCTCTCAAAACTTCTTAGCATTTAAGTTAATTTAAAGATCCAGATTTTAATTTTTTATAAGCCCGGATTAAATGCGACCCTGTTCGTTTGTCTGTCTTCACTAAACGGTGATAATTGTATGTTTAGCTTTATAATTTAATATTTATTGAATTACAAGTTAATTACTTTAAACATAAATAACTAACTAAAAATTATACTATTTAAGGGGCTCCCACAAACAGACATATTTCTGTTTTGATAGATGGAACCTTTCTTCGGCGAGTTCGATTCGCACCTGACCAGTTTTCTTGCAGTTTCTTTGTTTCCTTTTATTTTCAGGAATATTTGCCGCCTTGACTGTTCTGCCGGCTCCAAGATCCAGTTGATTGACTCCGGTTGGCGCCAAAAAATGGTGCTGAACCCGTGGGAGACGTTGGGGGCGATGGGGGCATCAGATTGGTTGCTGGATGGTATACTCTAGCTGACATTGATGTTTCGTCTGAAAATGTAATATAAGAACTTATGAAGGCCATTTGTTTCACTAGTAGATTCATCTTCATGTCAACAATATAAATTCCTTTTAATTAGTTATTGACGCGAATTTTACGTATTCTCTTATCACTTGATGGAAGGCGGAATATTTGAAAGCTTTATATTTTAGTTGATGACATAACAATAATAAAATCTATTTGGATTAAAAAATACGACACGGGCACAACTTGAACAGGCACAGCGCTTTTTGTTGCTGCTCTAACCAATTGAAACCTTATGACATCGAATAAAGATGCACTATCGACTTAATATAGTCGATATAGTGTATTAAGAGTTAAATGAACTTACTGTTAGAAAAAGACCGTCCATATTGCACCTTGGCGTTGTGGTCTTTCGCAGCCGGCATCTTGATTCTGTAACAACACAAACAATAGATTAAAACCTTTTATCTTTTATTATTTTTGTAAAAAAATGAGGACATGGTTCATAAATTTTAGTTAGAAATTTAAGATCTATCTTCAAGTATAATTCTAGAGCTTATTATTCCACTAGCTACATTATTTATTGATCATTAAGATCGAATGATCATTAACTCTAAATTTGAGACATGTTAAAAAATACAAAACAAAACGTTCCGGTACTTTCACTTGTTACATCAAGCTTTAATTTGTTAATAAAATTCCTTAATGATCAATCGTTTATTAAATAGGGCAAGCTAATAAAGCATGCGAAACAATTGAAGAGCAACAGCAAGAATACAATATGTATATTCCACTTTCGTACTTAGCTTTGTAAGATTTAATATCTCCAGACATAAGAAGATTACCCGGCCCTTTTATCTCTAATCAATATAGCTAAATCAGTAAACATGAAATTCATAAAAAGATCATCCTTTGTGTATCGAAACGCGGCTAATCGCACGAAAGCCTTCAATATAGCCTTACCTCGATCCCGTTCTATTCAATTAAAATCAATCTTTGAAGCGTTTTTCTAAAGGAATACGATCAAAAGACGTCAAACATTATCAATTTTACAAACACACTTTCCCCCTTTGTAAGTATTTTTAGCGACATCTATCGGCGGAGCATTGTCAACTTTATTTTTAGCCCATAGCGTTCAAAATAGATGTTTGAAATTGAAAAGATCGAAAAGTATGATTTATCGAATGGAACTTTATTAGAATATGAGCGAAGGGAATTTGGTGCCTTAGCTATGAATATAATAGGGTTGTTTTTGCCTTTACGACTAATCTGCTACTTATAACGTTGTTCTTTTAATATACAGTCATCAATACTGTATCGTCGCATTATCGTTACAACATGGCATTAAAAAGAAATTGTTGACGGGAAAATTGCTTAATATGCTCATAAACCGAGCCGCAGAATGCATTGTTTGAGAGCCTTTCAATATTTAGAAAACATAGAATCTAGATGTAATCTCTATATTTAAAATAAGTATTTCCTATTCCTATGTGTGACCCTTGTTAGCAGCCAATAAAATGACAAAGAAACTACGACTGGATTTGAAAGCGCTTTGTATTAACAAGTACCTATATTGCTGATAAAGTTTAATTAAAAAAAAAACTAAATGACATATTTTTGTTGTCAGTTCTCACATTAAGTTTTTTCACACCGAAACCTACACTGCCTTAAATCCTTATGAATTTCGAATCAAAGATAACGAAGAAGTTATCTTGCCGATGAAATATAGGGGAAATATGTCGATTTCCAATTCCATAAGATAAAGGCCATTATTTATATCCCGACATGCCAAGATAGTACCTTCAATGCTCTCCACATTACATTAATATCGGTATATATAGCAGGATATCTTATCATTTTATTATTTATCATTGGAAGGTGAGACCACCCCTGTAGCCAAATGGTTAACCGTGCATTGCGTTAAGCGCGAGAGTTCCCGGATTGGAATCCCAGGGAAACAATAGATTGTTTCGATCGGGCAGGGCACAGAAGTCTGATGAACTATTTTCTTGTTAAAGAATCAATCAGTAAAACGGACACAGTAATGTGTACATGCCCCATGCCCCAACGGAAAAACGCGATTTCACTTATCTTGTAAGGTTTCGTAGTTATTCTGATTGAAATAGTAACAAGAGGTAAATAGGTGAGTAAAATATGTAATATTGTATAATTGTTGACTGATTTTTTCAGGGTTATGTTTAATACTGAAACAACTGACACTAACTTATACCAATGTTGAATAAATTTATTCATATATATAAATAATTATATCAATTTAATTTTAAATCGAAAATTTAAAAACTTCTCTCGTAAATTATGGTCATCAATAATAAGAAATTTTTTTAAAAATGTAACTATTAATCACTTGATTAACTTATATTTTGTATGTTTGTATTCATAATAAGGTTGAAAGAAAAGATTTAAGTTAGAATATAAGGATGTAATTTTGGACGTAAAGAATTACATGAATGTATCCCATTCGTAGTAGCGTTGATATGTAAGTGCTAATATTACAAATATATATAACAAATACTAATGCTAATATCGCGTATGTAGTAGTTAATATTTGTGTAAGGTAGAAACTGTATCGGCGTTGCTTTCACGCCGAACACAAACGCGCTCAAACTTTGCCTCGCTACAAATGCTTATTTAATACGAAAGCACAGCGTGGATAAGACATTTTTTGTTCATTAAATAACGAATACGATATTATTCTTAAGTAAAGGTTGCCAACATAAAAATTAAGGAAACATATTGAAACTTACTTAAGAAAATCAAACACCACTAATATTACAGTTTATTAAAAATTTATTAATATCGATGTTTTGTCTAGTGTTTAAGCGTTGTATACAGTGAGTATGGTAGGAAAAATACAGAATCTCTATTTATTGGTAAGACTCTTTGAAATTAAGAAATATATAGTAATATTATAAAGCTAAATAGTTTTAAATAAAACACTTAAACGGTTTAAAACGCGATATATTAGTTACCTTATTTGAAAATGATTTTTAACTTAGGCCCAACGTTTCAAAGTTAACTAATATTTTAAACCGTTAAAGTGTTTTATTTAAATGTGTACTACTCGCGTAAACTATAGACAGTGCTAAATAGTTAGTTTGTTAGAACACGCTAATATCAGGAAATAATGGTTCGTATTGAAACATTATTTTTGTGTAGGTTGGACCACTTATCAAGAACATTCAATATGTCCAAAAATAAGTACGAAAGAATGATTCTTGGGATTGTATAACTCGCATGAACTAAATATATAAAGTTGAGGTGGTTGTTTGCAAAAATAAAAGATATGATTACCAGTCGAAATCGCGGACGCAACACTTCAACAATACACAAGCTTTTAAAACACGGTATATTTTACACGAAAATGGTTTATCGTTCATTTGTTGATTAGATCATTTCACTAATGTGAGTAAGCGTGTACTTAGATTAGTAACCGGTCAAGAAGCTAGAGATAAGAGCCATTAAGAGCCCTTTTAATGTTATCTACTTGAACAATAGTAATGTAACAATTAGTTGAAACCTTCCGACACAACGTGAACAAAGAAAATATATAAGTACTTACCAATGACTATTTATATCTAGTATCCATTTTCCTGCCGTTGTCGGGAAAATATACTATAGACAATAAACTAATGATATTTGCTAAAAACTTAGCAATTGTTTTTTTTGGAAATAACGATTGATTATTATTATTTATTACTTAACATTGGTAATAATAAATTAAACAAATGATATCTTTAGATGTGTTCCTATAGACAGCTCATAAAGATACTATCACGATTGTAAGTACCACCACTTATATAGTTTTATTATTAAATAAAGAACATGTCCATACATCATCAAGTTATTGAAATCAGCAAAATCACTTGATGGTATTGGAATTGTATCACGTAGTGCATTTTATTAGGTGTAGAACGCAGAAAAATTTTAGGCTTGATTTGTATCAAGTCTTATGATAGATGAGGGCTGATAGGGGTGATAGGGGTTACTTGATGGTAGGTGAAACATCACGACATGATGCGGTGTCGACTTATTTAGGATTTGGATAGCCTTAAATTCACTACCTGAAACCGAAACGCGATTAAACTTCGCGGTTCTAGTCTTGGGACAGTGATTCGTACCCCGGCTGGACTTTTGATATTTCTACCGCCCAGCTCGATATCCAGATTTCCAGACTAAGTCCAACAGGTTTCAGTAACATGGATGGATCCACGACCCATGGATCTTACATTGCTTCCACAACACTAACGAGCTCGTCTACCTTTATTTCAATTTAATTAGTTTCCTCAGATTTAGAACCCGGGACAGCGGCCCTTAACGCAATACTAGCTAATGTCGTACCAATTATGCGAATTCACACAATTGGATTGTATTATCTCTAGTTTACAAGAGTAGTACAATTTTAGTAAATCATTTTTAACGGTATAAACGTGAAATATATAAATTAGATTATTTACTGTTAGTACGTCTCGACGTTTCGGATGCTTTGCAGCAGGCGGCACCCCATTACGATAGCTTTAAAAAAGCTTTTTATTATTTTTTATATCTTTGTAAGTACAAATGTGTGTATACCAAATAGGTATACATGTAGTAGGGTAAAACAGTAATAATATATTATTGGTTTTCTCTAGTAATTTATTGAAAATGATTACATATCGGAATTTACGTTGTCTTTCGAAGACTTTCACTATCTACTTAAAAAAATTAGAAGGTATCTTTTCTGGGGTTTTGACGTCTTTCGATTCGTAGAAAGGCTGTGAAAGTAAACTAAGTAAGTGGGAGAACACAAAAGTGATATAGTAGTTCTAAAGCAAAAAAATATTTTACTTATGTCGGTCCATATTATGATTACATATTTGAAAGAGTTCGGGATTACTTATAATTAAATACAGATTAACGAAACCAAAATGTATGGTTCGTATTTAAACCAAAATAAATCTATTTGCTTTGGAATTTAAAAAAGGATGGTGGCATGCAAAACTTTAATATTTTTCACTTGTCATTGCACATAATGGCAGTATATAAATTACACATTAATTTTAGTTTGTTTTTTTGTCCTGCCCGTGTCGTACAAATGGGTCTATAAAGAAATTTGATATTCACGTGTAAGCTATCTTGTTTAATTGGTTGTGGGTACGAGTCTTGCTCAACATCCAGTTTATCAATTTAATCCAATTTCGATAAAATACTTTAACGGTTTAAAACGCGATATATTTTAGTTAAACTTGTTTGAACATTATATCGCGTATAAACCGTAGAAGTGTTTTATTAAAATGTCTACTACTCGCGTAAACTACAGACAGTATTTAATTTAAACTGATTTTTGTGACGCGTCATTTTAATATTTTGAGGTATATCCTCTCTATTCCGTCCCTAGTAAGGCTTTGTTAGGTTCGTTCGTAGCGCA